CTTTGCAGTCAGTGCAGGAGAGTAATGGAACACCAGCCCTTTTCTTCCAAAAAGGGCTTGGTTTTTATATTGTGATGTTCACCATGTATCTTCTCCAGTACCAGCCTTGTATTTCAAAGAACTATCAAGCCCAAAATGGTAATACAGCATTTACCAGTAATTTCTTCCCTATCTCTATAAATAACACTAGTTCAATATCTGAGAAATTTAAAAAATGGTTCTCCTATCAGAAACTTCAAGCTTACTTTTCCCAGACTTACATCTTTTCTCAAACTTACTTCAGCCCCACGCTGGACACGTCCATATACAGCAACAGCCCCACACCGGTTATAACCCCACCGAGCTGAGTTAAGCATACGGAGTTAAGAGAGGATGCAAAACATGTTTATCTACAGAAAACATAATGCAACTCTGAACACAGAACAAAACTACCACCTCAACAACTGTTTTGCAGCAACTGCCCACCTAAGACACACTAGAAAATGTGAAACCTGAATTCCGTCGGGGATACCAACTTCAACTAGCCCAGAAGAGGAAAGGCGAAAGAGACGTGCCACGAAGCCAGGCAGCTCCAGAGGACTGGTCCAAAACTACAAGGACGACACAGTAACCAAGCGCTTTCTTACCAATAGCCAAGCGAGTTGGTTTCTTCCTTGGGGGGTCCCCAGCACTGGAGTTGGGGTCTTCTTCCTTCTATTGCATTGAGAAGAAATAGGGAAATAGAGTTAGGGGGACAGGCAAGCTGTGGCAAGCCCTAAGGACCGAAATTTAGCTGCTGTGAAAACACACAGAGGCCAGGCAGAAATAGTGTGGGCAATCCACGCAACAATTCAACATTAGTAGAGCTGAAGAACCAGCGTACCTCAGCTCACCAGGAAAAACATCAGTTACATCTGGGGAGAGAGAATTCTGTATCTGGCTGAACACAGAGACATAGCTCAGCCACCAATTTCAGAACAAGTTTGACTGTGTGTATTTTTATTTTTTACCGGTTTACGTGTTCTTTTGAGGTGCAGGTAGACCCGCTGGCCTGTTTTCTGATAGTGCTTTTCCACATACTGCTTCCCAAAGCCCAGGAACGTGTTCATGCAGATATACAAGCCGCCATCCGACTCCTGGAAGGAAGGATGGATAAAAACTGAAGAGAGGTGGTAAAGAATGCCATTCCAACTGCGAGGATAGGCCCAGACTCACCTCTAGGAACACTATTCATTATTCGTTATTCATTAAGTCACGGCTGCAGCTCATTCCTACACACCAGCTGCTCAGCAGCTAGTCGGAAATAAGACGGCCAGCCCTAGCCCGGCTGTCCCAGAAGAACAGGTACTCCTGTCTAGATGATGCGTCTGAAAACCTATTTACCTGTTCATTTACAGCAGGACGCTACCGAATCAGGAAAGCCTGAGCTTCCTCGGAAGCCTGTCTCGCACAAGGCCCTTAGCACGCGCAGTTCACACGTTCAGAGCAGGGCACAATCATCACCAACAAAACCACGCCGCTCTGTCGAGAAGTGTCATTCCCAGTGCCACAGGGCGCTACGTCAGAACGGATCGCTGTTTATTTTTGCCGCTGCCTTCGAAAGCCTGCGAGCAGCTCCGTGACGGATATGGAATGAGCCCTCCCCATCCCACAAGCACCCGGCGAACGCCGCGCTCACGCAGCAGAGACACCCTTTTTTAAATCGAAGAGGCGAGGGACCCAAATACAGAGGCTGGAAAAGAGGGAAAGCGCCGAGAGGCTCTCAGCCCGCTCTCCCCGACGCTACCCAGCTGGGACAGAGTCAGGGCGGGG